AAATAGCTGGATGCGGATGAGACCGGAAGCTAGACCCATAGAATTTACAAATGGCCGCGACCATTTTTACGGCAAGAAAAAGGTGGATAGCGTCATCAAGCTTTGCTTTTGTTATTGTTTTGAAAATGCGACCTCTAGCGGCGAAAACTTACATATTGTGCCTTTAAATCAGTAGCACTTTATTTTACAGTCCTGTTCTACATTATTATAGCAATTACAATAGCTGGGTAATAACTAGGTACTAACCCTGAACCTACACTTAACCCATGTAGTTACTTTATACAACCCAGTATTTCTTGGGTAAGTACACTGTAAGAACACAAACTGTAAAATAAAGTGTAACCCTTAAGTATAAAATACTTCAGGAACAAAGTGGGCAGACACTGTAACACTCTGCTGCATAAAACGCTCCGTTAATTAATTGTGTTAGTGAAAAAGCAATGTTTTTGAAACATGATTCAATATCACATTTTAGCCCACATTCATCAATATTGCAATTTGCGTATGAGCACCGTGTTATGTTTCCGCTGAGCTCCACTGCAAAAAGCACCGTTTAAGCCTCAAGCCATGCCTGGCCCATGCAGCACACTTCAACCGTCATTTGCCTTCACACCAGGGGCCGTCCCATTACTGTACCTATCACAGGTCATCTTTGAGTCCTTCAGCCTACTGCCAGACTGGAAGGCTTGGAAGAAAGCTGTGGAGGGATTCCTGCACTCCATCCAGCAGAAAGAGAGAAACAGAAAAGGTTACGTGAGAAACGAAAAGTACAGCCCAAAGAGGAAATCAAAGGCGTGTTTATTTGTAGTCTGCTTAGTCTGTAGTGTTTAAAACAACAAAAGAACAGTTTAGGTAAACCAGGCAATATATAAGATATTCACTATATATATTTACAATGTTTTTGCTGATGCAAATTAAGCAACGGCATGATTATTACTGTTTTTAATTCACTTTTGTGACCATTAAGTTTCATGACCATGCCAGAATCAGATTATTTATAGATACATTTTTAAATGCATTTCATTAAATATGCATACCTATATTTTCTTTATACAGTGTATAAATAAACTACTGTTAAATAGTTATGATTTTTAAATGTTTTTGAAAGATGTTTTTCTGGTAAGTCTGAAAGATTTTTTTTAAAGGCAGATTTTTACTCCAATGTGAAAGTTGTAAAAACCAGATGGTTAATTGTGGTTTTAAACTATTCTTTATGGTCAGAACATGACAAACACTTCGTTTTTGAATTCTTTACACTTTTCCAGTAATTTTTCCATTAACAAAATTAATATCTCAATAGAAAAAAATAATTTCTTAGTTCTGCATGTTCTAGTAATGAGTAATATTGTTTCAAATCAAGAAACAAGTTTGTGTTGCCTGATAATATTAATAATAGTCCTATAACATTTCTTGTCTCTTAGAAGAGTTAGGATGCAGATGTAGATTTATGTTCATTATCAAAATCAGTAATATCGGTACAAATTGTAGCAATCTCATTTTTATATGGTGAAATTTTATTATTCTGACTGTTTGAAGTGTTTTTTTTTTTTTTAACCATTGGTCTTCCATAGTAGCATACATTTAGATCATGATAATCACAGTTAAAACCACAAATATAGCACCTTAATACCATGGTAAAAATGTAATATGGCTTGTAGGTATTTATGAAAAACAGTAGTCTAAATACATTTATAGATGCATAAACGCTATAGCTTAATCACAAAAAAATACTGTAATTATATTCTATTACTCCTCCTTCAATATATTTAATACACGTCTACATTGATACTTTGATCCGAGTGGCGCGCCTCAAATGACTAGTGCTCTTTCGTTCAGCCTTTGCCGCAAACATACCCACATTTCTGACACAATACCATGGTGCAGTTAGTGCTACTACAGTAAATCTATGGTAAATGATGGCAATTTGTAGATTAAAAAGTCTTCTGACTGTATCGTTGCGCACAGTGTTTCTGCTGTTTGTCAGCACTGTTTCATCTGGCTGTAAACAGTTATTTGTGTTCCTCGCTGAAGTCAAGCGCTTCACACTGGATCTCACAGTGCTGTTCAGTGTCGTGTGAGCGAGACTCATCAGCGAGTGAACGCATCTGCTCTAGTGAAGCTCGCGCCGCACCACTGTTTGAGCTTTGATCCGAGCAGATAAACGCTCCGAGTGGCGCGCTTCAAATGACTAGCGCTCTTTCGTTCCTCCTTTGCCACATCAATTATTATTATATCGAACTCTTGTTATCGTTTATCGAGGAAATTTATATCGCGCAATAATTATCGTTATCAATTTATCGCCCAGCCCTAGGCCAAAATACAACTATTTGAAAATCTGTAATCTGATGGTGCAAACAAATCTAAATATTGAGAAAATCACCTTTAAAATTGTCCAAATTAAGTTCTTAGCAATTCATATTACTAATCAAAAATTAGGTTGTAATATATTTACTGTAGGAAATTTACAAAATATCTTCATGGAACATGATCTTTACTTA